TCCATGCAGGAAATAATAAAATCCTTGTCATGCAAAAATATTAGGGACTCCCGTATTGAATATCATTTTGACACCACGTCAGAATTATTTTAGAACTGTTTTTCAACGACGTTATTGCGAAATATAGCACCAAACGGTGTAATTGTGATGGAGAATACCAGCTATCACAGTCGTAGGCCGAATAAAGTTCCACATTTTAATGACATCAAACCTTAGAATCCAGAAATCTATACTGAAAAGTGATATATTACTTGAAACTTTATGATAATTTTCCATCAGTAAACAATATTATTCCGACAGTTTGCTGGAAGAAATGGGTCATACAGTATTAAGACTTTCTCCTTACTATTGCATGTTTAATCCTATTGAAAACATACGGCATGATCTAAAAGTATCGGTAAGGAGAAGTAATGTTTCGCTTACCCTTAGCGGATTTGTGGTTAGTCTAATTGAATTAGTAATGGAGAAAATAACCAATGACAGCTGGAAAAATACAGATAGGTTGCTCAAAATAATAAGTATTTGGTCAACTTTCTATGTGTATACGTAATTTATGTAAATATTTTTAAATTCATTTGATAACGGTATAAAACTAGCTTTTAGACACAACTCGATTTTTAAAATAATTTTCTAAAATACTTTTACCTCTGTTCTTTTTGTACTTTATTTAGAACTAAGAACGTTTTGTAAATATTTTAAAGGCCGGATTTTAAACACACCTAACAATCGAATAAGTAATGCAAATCGAAAATAAAAATACGACCCTGTCCAGAGGCGATCTCCCGCTGCCTTGCGGTAGACACTTATCGATAATAAATATTAATGATTCTCTTAGATCTCTGGTAGGATTTTTCACTTATCCTTGTCGTTGGATTGGTAGAAATAGACCCATTCTGTGGCTACTAAGAAGTCATGAATGCAATGTACTGGATTTTTATTTTTGTGAAAAAAATCGTTATTTCATGATAAACGAGATGAAATCGAAATATAAGCTAAATTACGAAAACAAATTGTTGATGGTGCAGAAACTATCCGACATAATGTAGTAACTATGACATTACTAACAATTGAATTAGTCGTATCAATGCATGTGTTCGCGCAAGTGGAGTTCACTTTAAACGTTTCTTCGTCTAGCCATTCACGTCCACATTTGAACATAAGCCTCTTCCAGTCTTCCTTTCCATTGTTTTTTATTGTACGCTACTTGTAGCCAATTTTTCCCGGCAGTCCTTTTCAGATCATCTGTCCATCTCATAGGAGACCTGCCTCTGGGTCTTTTGTGTTGGTATGGTCTCCAGGTTAAAATTGACCTGTGCCATTTGTTTAGATCGCTCATAGCTACATGTCCAGCGTATTCCCATTTCAACTTTAATGACTTTTGCACCACATCGGTGACTTTGGTTTTCTGTCTTATCCATGTGTTTGTTTTCTTGTCCTTAAAGTGATATACCTAGCATTGCTCTTTCCATCGCGTGTTGAGTGACTCTAAGTATATTCATATTCTTTTTTGTGATTGTCCATGTTTGTGCCGCATAAGTTAATATCGGGAAATAATGCATGCATCAAAAAAACTTTAGATCTAAGATGTAATTGAATTTGTTGATTTCTGAGTATATAGTTCAGTTTACCGAATGCTGCCCGAGCTAACTTTCATCTTCTTTTTATTTCTCCGTTTGAATTTCCCTATTTAGGATTATTTTTTGTCCTAAGTATATATATTCTCTCAACTTTTTCTATAACTTTATCGTTTAATTATTGTCACGGTGTCTTCGGAGTGCATGACTTTTGTTTTGTTTAAATTCATTTCAGTCCTATTTTTAGAAGTTCGGTATGTAGTTCTAAAAGCATGGTTTGCATTTCTTGTAGGTCAGTAGCTATTCAGGATTATGTCATCTGCTAATCGTAGATTACTGAGGTAGCGGCCATTGATGTTTATTCCTTTATATTTCCAATTTAGGTTTTTAAAAACGTCCTCCAAAAATAAGGTGAACAGTTTGGGTGATAAAGTATCTCCCTGTTTGATCTCCCTGTTTAATGGTACAGGGTTCGTGTGTTCATTTTCATTTAGGTAGTATGTAGCTGTAGCTTTGGTTCATAGTTTCTTTTATTAAGTTAATATATCTGCTGTCTATTCTACAATTTTGCATTGGCGTTTATTACGGCCGTGTGTTCTATGGTATCGAAAGCTTTTTCGTTAGTCTAACAAATGCTAGAAAACTGGAAACTTAGTATTCGTTACATTTTTCTTAATAATATTTTGTGGTTAACAGGTGATCGGAAGTTGAGTAGCCTTTTCTAAAACCTGCCTGTTCATATGGTTGGTATTCGTCTAATTTCCTTGTTAGTCGAGTAGTTATGACTTTGGTGAGTATTTTAAACATGTGTTAAACATGTGTTTAAACGTTTATTATAATAATTATTGTCATAATGAACAACACCAAAGATGTCTTTGAGAGAAGCCATAGCGGTATTTAATTTCTTATTTTCAGTATATATGCAGAGGTCATCTGCATACTGTACTTTTTTAAACGAAATATGTTAAAAAATTTAATTGAAATTTTTTTTACAAAATAGCACCTGTATTAATTAATACTGCTATAGAAATCCTATAACTTCCCAAGCACTTTCTTCTAAATCCATTTACACAAGAAGAACTTAATTTGCGCTAAATAATAGGTACACAGCTCCGGGCTACGATGATATTCATTATCCTATGCTTATTCTTTTGCTGATATTCTTTTTAAAGATGCAGAAATTGATGTATTAAGAACTGTTATTGTTAAAGCAATCCTTAAACCAAATAAAGATCCCAATTTGATACTATCATATAGGCTAATCTCTGTAATGTCCTGTGTTTTGAAGACTTGGAAAGAATTATCAAAATTAGACTAGAATGGTCGATAACTTATAATAACTTAGCTTACCACAAACAATTCTATTTTAAAAATGGGTTGGTTCCCTACATGCTCTTAGTACTCTTGTGGTAGACATAAATAATAATTTTGACAGAAAAATTACCTTTCGGCGCTTTTTATAGACGTAGAAAGTACGTATGATAATATATGCCTCGCCATTTTAAGAGAGAAGATGTTGAAATTATTTCATATTCCAAATCAGGTAGTCAACATAATTATTAAATTCTATACTAATAGAAAAATATTTTTAAGAAATTTTGGTAACACGATTTTAGGTCCAAGAAATAACAACAACGGACTTTCGCAAGGCTCAGTTTTAAGCCCTTTTCTCTTTAATTTGTATACGGCGGATTTATATCAATTAAGATTTAATCACGTTTCGTTTAAAATAGTAGAGCATGCAAATGACGTCTGCATATATACTGAAAATAATAAATTTAACATACCTAAATTAAGTTTCATTGTCCTAGGTTCTTATAATGTTTCAATAGAAAATTGACATGGAAAATGCATACTAATTACTTGTTAGACCGATGTATAAAGGGTTTAAATTGTTTAAAAATGGTTACTAAAATTTCGTGGGGAGCGGTCGTTAAAACCGCCTTACTATTCCATTTCTATTTTAAATTTAGCTCTTAAAGCATATTATTCATCTTCTCGTTATTGATATTTTATTGACTTGACGGTCATAAAATGTTTAGGTTCAGAATAGTAGTCATGTTGTAACTGGCTAATTTACAACTGGTATATGCCAATAAAAAAATATAAGCCAGAAACTAAAAAACCAAGAAAAAGACCCAGAGACAGATGAAAGGACCAGGTCATGGGAAATATCAAAATTCTAAAAGTAATAAACTGATGGGAACTATGAACAGATCGAAAATTAGTAAAAGAAAATTGTTAGAAAAGTCAAGTCATACAACAAAAAAATAATAATGTACAAAAATGATGTGGAGTTATTAACCGCAATTTGCGAATCTACGAGCTCTAAGTAAGAGAGGCAAACATTCCATGGAAAATGTTAGGCCTTGCTGATGATAATTATTAATAAATTAAACTGCTAAAACATTCTTATAAGAAAGTACAAAAAAAACAGAGAATATGTAAACCCACTACTTAAACGTCTAAGTTAGTTGTTGATCTTACCGCTATGCTATGATTGTTCAACTTAGTTTTACATGTGTAAACAGGGCGGCGCTAAGATTGTTTGCAATTAGGCAAATTGAGGTATTTCTAATCGTTATGTGTATTCCATAAACTTGACCAACTGCCCGCGTCTTCGATTCTTGATTAAAAACAATTCTAGTACACAATGACGAAATATAAAATATAACTAACAATATTTATGAACTTTTATATATTAGGAATAATATCACAATACGTTCTGACAAGACCACCCAACTGTCATGACCGACAATGTTGGATCCCACAGTTGGTGTTTGTATGTAGACTTGTTGACTGCCAAAAATAACACACACACACGTACACGCACAAAACCACACACACACACACACACACACACACACACACACACACACACACACACACACACACACACACACACACACATAACAAACACCACACACCTACACCACACACAACACACACACACTACACACACACACACCCACACACACACACCACATACACACACACACACACACACACACACACACACACCCACACACACACACAGGCACACACACACATATACACGCACACACACCAACCGTTGGAGAGTTAGGTGGTCTTATCGGTATGTGTGTATGTCTTTTTTTAATTTAAAATTCATAAAATTTGTAGTACAACTTATAGTACAAACCCATGCCCAAATTAATAAATATTTAGACTTGTGGCCATGTTTTCAGCAATTCCTCCCGCTGAGCAATGTAACTCAATGTAACTAGTTCTTTAATTTTTAGGTTTTATTTAAGTATATCATTGTCGATATTATAGATATTGTAACAATTACTTACGCCCTATTAAGATTTCTAAGTGTACCTTCACTTTATTAGGTCAATAGACCAAAGAAATACATAGATATTTACTTACAGGAAGATACTAAATAACATTACATTATTTTAGATTTTACAGGTAATGTTAATTGACGATATAGAAGGAGAAACTCGCAGATACACCGCTGATGTAGCTTATCATTACCGAAGAGCTTTTCAAATTAGACATAACTGTTCAGCCAGCATGTAGTGAGAATTACGAATACCATACATTTAGCTAATTATCAAATCGGAAAGGTAAGTGTTTAGAAATACTATTCCATCACACATTCTAACCTAGTGACTTATATAGTGACGAAAATTTATCAATACATATAATTTGCTTATTACGTCTGTCTGTCCGTAACCTAAACCACAGGGCCGGCATTACATATTATTTTCATTGTAATTGGTCCGATTAAAGCGTTGCTCATGCGTTAAATTAACTTAGAGAATAGCGATTATATTAACAACCGTGTAAATTTTAAGCCACTAACATTTTTAAAGATGTTCATTAGCTTAAGTGTCAAAAATGGAATGTAGGGTAGGCAACCATAAGTTATTTTAGATGGTAATATTGATGCGTTATGTGTCAATGTCAATTGCCGGATCTCATTGTTATGAAAATTTTGGTTGACAGAAACTTGTGAAGAAATAGCTAAAGTTCATAAACCCACTATTTCAATGAGGCCTATTGTATCTTCCATTGATGCTCCTAATAGTAAACTTGCTAAACACCTTACAGAATGATATTCTCACAATTTCCTATAACGAATCCAATGAATTCTATATAAGAGATTCTTTTTCATTTAGTAACTTCATTAACAATGTTAAAGTTCCAAATAATTATATATTGATTAGTTTAGATGTTGTGGGCAGTGAAATATCCCCCATACTATGTAATTTTGTTTTGGATGAACTTATAACAACGTGTAAAAAAACATACCTTTTCACATACCATTTATTAAACGTTATGTAGATGATTTGATTCTATCGGTCCCTGAAAACAAGGTAACTGATGTTTTAAACACTTTTAATGCCCAATGTGGACACCTAAAGTTTACGGTTGAGAGAGAGGCTGATAATATGATTCCTTTTTAGACATGCTAATCCATCGTGGCAATGATGGCATGCTAAAGACTGAGTGGTATCGTTAAACCTTGTTTCAGTAACCGTTTCATAAACTTTTATTCTCAACATCCATCTAAGATGAAAACAAATTTGTTTTTGCTTTAAAAACTAGGTTATCATTTGTCACCATAAAATTCAGAGACAAAAGGGGACTAAAAAAGTTGAGAGTCCATACTACAAGAGAATTCTTATCCATAGGGCTGTAATAAACTCTTTTTCGGTTCTCTTTTGCCTTCACAAGTTTCTGTTAACCAAAATTTTCATAACAATGAGATCCGACAATTGACATTGACACATTAACGCATCAATATTACCATCTAAATAACTTATGGTTGCCTACCTACATTCCTTATTTTGACACCTTAGCTAATGAACATCTTTAAAAATGTTAGTGGCTTAAAAATTACATCCACAAAATGTGTAAAACAGTATCGAAGCTTACACAAAACAAAAGATCCTTTCACAATACAGGATGTCATCGAATGTTTTTAATTCTACACCGTGTAGTAACGTAATAAAATTTACATAGGAGAATCATCTCGTAATTTTCACAGCAGGGTGATATCAATCGCAGTGATATAAAAACCAAAAAATCATGCATGTGCATTGACGAACATGCACTACTCTAAACATGAATTCATTTTCGATGATGCCTGTATTTTGGCAAAGAAAAAGAACCATTCAAAAACGCGTTTTTTTTGGAAGTGTCTTTCATAAAATCTAGCACATCTTGCATCAACAAAAAGTCCGACATACACAAATTAAGTAACATTTATTGTTATTTACTAGAAAAAACACCAAAAATAAAATAAATATTTACCTGTACAAAAATTTACACCTCTGTATATATGTTGAATACCATTAAGACAGGTTTAAAAAGTATAGTCACCTAAGAAGGGCCTCTAGTATTTCTTGTAAAGAAAGATAACATCAATTACACCTAATTACATATTAATTACACGTTTTTTCTTTCCATTCTCTGTATGCGTTAATATACACCAAATAAAAATGCCATCAAGTCAAGTTTTACTATTTTTACAACAAATTTTAAAAATTTTATGATGTATTATGTCCATAATTGTATATTTTAATGTGTGGTATAAATGTTGAGTGTCAATGCTTACAAAAATAATCTCAACGACTAGTAAGTTACACTGAAGAATTGTGATATTTTTTAAATATTTACATAATTGTCTAAATAATTACATAATTTTAACATCCCGGCCAATATTCTGACTGCAACCCCTAATAAACTGTGTTGTTTGTATATATAATATATCTAATATAAATATATATATAATATATTTATATATATATATATTTATATAACCAGCAAAATATTGATAGTTTACCGATGTTTCAAAACTATTCATGAACTTGTCTCACTATACACTCGTGAATCGCAAAAATTTATATCGTTACGGGGGCAAATTTAATCTGACTTTCTCGCTTATTTACATGGGCGAAGCATACAACAATAATAATGGACCCCGGTAAGAATTTACTAATGAAATTTTACATGGTTGCGCTACAGTTTAGTTTAATTTGTAGATTAGTCACCCTTAATTGAAAATTTTCCGACTATAGTTCCTACTAGTTAATCAAAACAATCCAATAATTCTTAATGAGAATGAATTACACAGAAAATGGCTACTATATATGAGTTGTTTGATAATGAGAGAAACAATAATACTGAATTCTTCCAAAATTATACTGACGGTCTAGAAATTATGAAATCGGAGGTAGAGCAAACTATGAAAAAATGCTTAAATTAGAAAAGCCTGTGGACTAGACGATGCGACGAAAGAGCCGCTAAAATTAATAAACGAAGAAAACATTTTGACTACAAGTTGTAGTCAAATTTTATACTCCAATAATTATAACCCTGGAGTAATTCGCACCAGACTATAAACATTTCCAATAGTACCTAAAAAATGCTGAGAATATTGATTAACTAGCCCACTTAATGAGTCATACTCAATAAGATTTTTCAAAGAATACTTCAGAACAGAATTAATCAAAAATACTAACAAGATCTTGAATAAACCCAGTGTGATTTTAGGAATACTACGGAAACTGGGGATTTACTTTTTGCGGTAAATAATAGCTTATTAAAAAAATACTGTGACTAAAGAAAATATGCATTTGTAGCTTCATGAATTTAGAAATGACATTCGGCATGGCACAACATGTAAAATTATTGCAATATAAGTTAATTTTAAATGTTATGCAATGTAGATTAATACAAATTATTGATAAAATGTATGTATAGTAACAGATGATAAAACTATTCCTGTCGTTAAGAATCTATACTGGAATTAACCCGGTATCATAAAAATTTGAGATAGCTTCACTTACGAAATCTCCATACAACAAGGAGTCAGACAAAGTTCTCTATTATATTTCAGTCTCAGCATACTGGATTATTACTTCCAATTTCTTTTCTGTTCCATTGTGTGTCAAGTTTTCTCTTGTCGATCAAAACCTAAAAATTAGGTTAGAGTTTACCGCTTATTTTTTTGCCTTTTGATAACTTATATTGTACCCATCATCGTGGTATATCTAGAATGATGCACGTAAAAAAAATAAAAGAAAAAGGCAAATTGTGAACACAAGAAATTCAGAAAAAACAGCTTTTTTGGTAGGAACATGTACAGAGAATGACATACCATATCCTACCGGAATTAATATTGGATTGGCAACCACGTAAGCTAAAATGACGAGAAAGACCAAAGGCAACACGGATAAATATAGTCTAAAGGTAATGTTCGTCTCGACTGCTACTTAAGAGTTATCGTCTTCATCGCTTTCTTTATTATTTTAAAGTATTTTGTTCTTGTATTTTGTATTCCTGTTCTGTAAGTTCATGGTCATTGGCGGCTAGAACTTTTTAAACATTACCTAACTGTAGATTTTTAAAACGTTATCCATGTATTTTGTAGAATATCATTAACTTCTTATGTTTTATAGGGCTCTGATGAGGTTACCATAACAACTTCTGGCCATAGCTTTTTCCAACACGCGTTTAGAATGATGGGGGTATTTCATTAGTGGCTTGTTTGATAATAATTACACAGTGAGAATTATTTAATTGTCTTCAACTATCGATAATGGCTAATAAACGATCTAGTTTCATACAGTCGAAGATTCGGCTGAATCTGTAAAGGTAATACCATTTAAATAAAGCTATTATTTCCTGATCCAAAGGCTGTAAAAGCGAAGGGGTGTTGAGGGGTAGAAAGTTAATTGATTTTAAATCAATTAAGATCAGGGATTCTGGATGTCCAGGAGTATTTTCGACAAGAAGAAGTTCTTTAAAGGGTATCGATTTCGATGTTAAATATTGCTAAAGGCTAGATACAAAACAGTTGGTAAACCAACTCGTAAACAATGTTGCCGTAACCCACGAGTTTTATTTTGTCCTCGAAAATACTGATAATTCTTTTTTTTTTTTATGTTTAAGAGGCCATGGATTTAGAGACTTGTAAATCAGCATTGGTTTGACTATATGGTCACCTGAAGCGTTACAATAAAATAAAATAGTTAACCTGGTATTTGCTGCTTTAAAACCTGATGCAGATTTCTCAGTTTTCAATATAAAGGTACTAGCAGGCATTATTTTTTATGAAAACAGCTATGTCGGTGGCGTTAAAAACTTGTTACGGCTTACATCCCTCCCTTTCTGTGAGTTTTTTTTTAGCTGGATACTGGTTAGCCGCGTCTTGGTCTGCTGAGGCTGATTCCCCGCGATTTTGATACAATGTAAAGAATCTCTTTTTTGAAATCTTGCGAACTATCCTTTATTCGCTTAGAAACTAGACAAGTCGTTGTCATCCTTTAGATTTTCGTAAATACGAAGAGCCGTTTCTGGTATTATGCGTGTGCTAATTGGCACTCTCTTGTTTGTTTGACCTTCGATTCAAAGGAACAGTGCTTTTTCCATTTTTTTTTTCGGATTTAAGATTGCAAAAAACAAGTAACCTTGTTGCTTAAACGAGTGCCATACAAAACACTGGAACGAATGATTTTCTCACTCTTGAATAGTCCTTGTAGTCGATTGGTTCGCATAAAACTTCTTCACGGCACTTCCATATGATTTTCCTGGGGCTTAACAGTCTAACAACTAA